CTAAAGTATTTTATTTTTTATGTTATTATAAATGGCATTTTTTTCAAAAAATTCTGTATCTAACAGATCACTGTTAGTGCATAAAAAAGCAACAAATTTTTTGTATATTGATTTTATATCCAGCAATTTTCCTGACTTTTTTTATTGGTTCTGTTTTTTGGTGGAGTCTTTAGGGTCCTGTATATATAATGTCATGTCATCTGTAAATAGAAACAATTGGATTTCTTCCTTTCCAATTTGGACGCTTTTCTTTTTCTTTCTTAACTGCTGTGGTTAGGATTTTCAGTATTGTTTTGAATAAAAGTGTCAAGGGTGGCATCCTTATCTTATTCTTCATGTGAGAAGGAAAGTTTCACCTTTGCACTATTGACTATTACGTTAGCTGTGAGCTTGTTATATGTGATCTTTATTTATGTTGAGGTAATTTCCTCTCTACCTGGTCTGCTGAGAGTTTCATCATAAAACGATGTTGAATCTTGTCAATTGTGTTTGCTGCAACTATTGAGATGATCATATGATTTTTATCTCTTGTTTTGTTAATGTAGTCTAACACATTGATAGATTTAGGGACGTTGGAGCATCCTTGCATTCCTGGACTAAATCACACTTGATTATGGGTTATAATTCTTTTTATTCACTGTTGAATTTGGTTGGTGGTGAATTTATATTGTGGATGCTTTTTGCATCTATGTCCATCAGGGATATTGGCCTTTAATTTTCTCATAGTGTCCTTGTTTGGTTCTGGTATCAGGGTAGTGCTGGTCTCATAAAATGAGTTTGGCAATATTGCTTCTTCTTATTATTTTTGGAAGAGTTTGAGAAGAACTACTTATTACATCTTAAAGTGTTTGGTAGAATTCACCAATGAAGACATCTTGTCCTGAATTTTCTTTCTGAGGCGGTTTTAGATTACTGATTTAATCTCCTTAGTAGCAAGTGGTCTATTCAGATTTTCTATTTTTGCTTGATTCAGCGTTGGACAGTTGTATGTCCTAGAAACTTATTTGTTTCTTCTAGGATGTCCAAATCGTTGGCATATAATTATTCATGGTAGCATCTTATGATTCTTTATATTTGTGTGCTATCGATTGAAATGTATCTTCTTTCAGTTATAATGAAAGTCTTGGTAAGTCTAGCTAAAGATTTGTCTGTTTTATTTATCTTTCCAGAAAACCATCTCTTAGTCTGATTGATCTTATTTATTTTCTTTGTAGTGTCTCTTTCACTTATTTCAGCTGTGATCTTTGTTTGTTCCTTCCTTGTACTAACTTTGGGCTTAGTTTGTTTTTCTTTTCCAGTTCCTTGAGGTGTAAAGTTAGGCTGTTTATTTAAGATCTTTTTTTTTTTCCTTAATGGTAGCATTTATCACTATAATTTCCCACTTAGGACTGTTTTTGCTGCATTTCCTAACTTATGATATGTAGTGTTTCCATTTTTTGTCTCAAGATATTTTTTGAGGCCTTTTTTGGTTTCCTCTTTTACCTATTTGTTCAAGAACATGTTGTTTAATCTCTACATATTTGTGACTTTTCCAGTTTTTTTCTTCTTTTTGATTTCTAGTTATGGTTGGAAAAGATACTTGAAACTATTTTAAAATTCTGTGGCATTGCTGAATGGAAACACCGTTGGCTATCAGAGTCAGGTGATCTAGCAACATAATTCTCAGGTGGCAGTTGTAAAAACAGGTGCAGACATGTATACAAACTCTCTCCAAGGAGATATTGGTAACTTGGGGTCAGCAGGAGGGAAAGAGTTGGGGGCATGTCCACAGGCTTCTCTGGTATCCAGGGAGGATCCCAATCAGCTCCTAGAAACATGCAAAATCAGAAGCCTGACCTCAGGCTTTTAAATTGTACCAAAAGACCCCATTCAGGAAAAGACTGAGAGATGGGCTGTTCTGTTATCTCTGCTCTGAGCCCTGGTGTGAGAGCGGCAGCTCCTATTTTATTCGCTATAGTCTTTCGAATCTTGTGATGTAGACTCCAATATTGGTCTTTGGAATAAGGGAATTTGGAGGTCTACCCCTTTAGTGGGACTATTAAATGTTGGGAAACTAGTTGTGGGGCATAAAACTTTTACTCCCCTGGAGAAGCTGAGAACCGGGGGATCCCTCCCAACTGTATGTCCCTGTGCCAAGGGTGGGGTGTATGGCAAAGTTGTGCCTTAGCTTTTCCTCTGATTTAATGTGGGTATTTTCTCACTTGCCCAATATGTAGTAGTTACTCAGATATTTTCTTGATTTCTTTGAGAAAGAATTGTACTATCTATAGCTGTTAATTTGGGTATCGATAGGAGGAGAATTTGAGGCCTCTTGTATTATCATCTTTGAAGACCTCCCCTTTTCTCTAAAAAACTTCATTTGGACAATAATATTTGCTATCTGTCATTGGGTATATGTGAGAAGGATGTGTTATAGAGATTATGGAGGGAAGGTAATGATGAGGATTGAAGTAGGCTGGAATACATCAAAGCCTTTTGATATTATGTTGCCTATTTAGGTAAAATAACAAGATAGATGTTTCATTGTAGTCTATCTACTCAAGCTTCTATTTGAGTTACAAATCCCCTAAAAAAATTGTCCCACATAATGTGTTATTAAACCTCTCAAAATCAGGGAAAGGAAACCCACAATTAATTAAATTAATCAATTCTATATTTGGAACCCCACTATAGGATTAAAATTTCTTTCTCTTCAAAATTTCATTACCTCTAGTTCAGACCTACTAGATCTGATAAAACTGTCAATATGTAGATCATATCAGGTGTTAGATGTTGTAATATATAGCTGTTGAAAGGGAGAGTGATGGGTTAACTAGATAACATATTTACATTCCCTAAATTACCAGCAATCTACTTCACCCATTTTTTTTTGGACAATGTATTTCAAACAGTATTTTCTACTAAGCTGCTGCTCATAAATTACAACTTCAAAAGAGTATGTGTTAAGTGAGAACACATGGTTCAAGTAGAAACTCTTAAAGCCTGTATTAAAAAAAATATGCTCCATAGATTTTTTTCCAACAAGATCCTATGTGATAGGAAGGGGTCCCACAAATGCTTTTTTGAAAACTAAAGAAACTTCTTGGGTTTATGTCTTTTCTGAAATGTTTTCATACAAATGCATTTCAAAATAGCAACTACAAAATCTAAGACATTCGGTGGCTTTTTAAAAAAAGATTTATTTATTTATTTGAAGGGAGAGAGAGAGAGAGAAAGAGGGAGAGAGCAAGCACGAGAGCGGGGAGGGGCAGAGGGAGAGACTCTTCAAGCAGACTCCCCGTTGAGCACGGAGACCAACAGGGGCTTGATCTTACAACCCATGAGATCCTGACCTGAGCCAAAACCAAGATTCGGTCACCCAACCAACTGAGCTGCGCAGGTGCCCCTACGTTCAGTGGCTTTTAATTTCTATAATTGTAATTGGTAATTAAGAGTGTCCTTGGGTCTTATATGATCCTTCAAATATATGCCATTCCCATCGTGTCTCAGCAAGCTAATTCAGTACTTTAACCGTTAGAAAGTAGAGCACAGACAGATGAAATTCACAGATATCAAGCATGTACATGGAAAAATGCTCTTTACTTCTGGTGTAATTAATATGTAACTTTTTACAGACCCATTACTTTAGTATCCACAACCATTTTATGTACTTTCTGAAGAGTTATAAAATATATATATTGAAGCCACATACCATACCCTAAGTTAATTGTGTTATTGATATCTAATAAACTCCTAAAAATGTTATCTAGTATTTCATTTGGTATATGTTTGTTTTGCCATTTATTGTCTTTGGCACCATGCAGGTACTTTGGATAACAGGATGGGACGCTCAGTCCTTGAACAAAGAAGGCCCACCACCTTATTTTGGAGGCAGTGATTTAATAAACCAAGCAATATTAAAACAACACTTACAGGAGATGGTTGTCTGTGAATATAAAAAGGGACAGTTAACCAGAGCTGAGAAGGGAGAAAGATGGGAAGGAAACCTTCCCTGAGGAAGTGATGCAGGACTTCTTAATAATTTTGGCACAGGGTGCCTGGGTGGCTCAGTTGGTTAAGCGACTGCCTTCGGCTCAGGTCATGGTCCTGGAGTCCCGGGATCGAGTCCCGCATCGGGCTCCCTGCTCAGCGGGGAGCCTGCTTCTCCCTCTCCCTCTGCCTGCCTCTCTGCCTACTTGTGCTCTCTCTATCTCTGTCAAATAAATAAATAAAATCTTTAAAAAAAAAAATTTTTGGCACAATTATGTAATTGACCAAGGCACTTTACATTGCTCTTTATAACCTGTATATGTTGGACTTTCTTAATTCCTAAGGTATAGAACTGTTCACCTCAAGACTTCTGTAACTGTCAGACCCTCTGCCTAGAATCTTTTATTTTCCCCAACTTGCATTTTTTTAAGATCTGAGACTGAATATCATCATCCAGATAAGCCTTTCTTTGCACACAAGTTTTTGATATTTTTTCTAGATTTTTTTTATTTTTTCTTGATTTTTTCATTTTTTCTAGATTGTTAACCCTGAGTTTTTATTTCATGAAAGTTTTAAGACTTATTATGAACTATTTGAATGCTTAATTAATGTTTTGTTTATTCCTCTAAACTATAGGATTCATTAATTTGGAAACCACTGAATTATTATGAAATGCAATGCACCTAAATCTACAAAAAATACTTAGTGAGTACTCAATAATAAATCCAAGTATAGTTGTAACAATGCTTAAATGAAAAATAAACAAGTAACTATATGGCAAAATTAGAAGGGCCAGAATGTTTTCCACAAAGAAGTAGTTTCATAGATAAATTGAAGACCAAAGTGAAGCATAACAAGTTTGAGGAACTGCAGCATTTTTTTATGATTGAATTTTAGTACAGATATTTATTTAAGTATTTGAGAAAATTCTGTTTTTCATAGATTATTCTATGTAATTTTATGAAAACAACAATCACTCTATGTGTGTGAGTGTATGTGCACATGCAGAATATAAATACTTAAAGCCATATCTTATTTTTCAATTTTTGTAGGGCCCCTTTCACATCCTTGTTCCGTAGGCTATAAATCAGTGGGTTTAACATGGGAATCACAAGGGTGTAAAACAATGAAGTAATTTTGTCTTGATCTAGGGAGTAGGAAGAACTCGGCCGGAAATACATAAAGAGCATGGTTCCCTGGAAAATTGCAACAGCAGTTAAGTGGGAGGTGCAGGTGGAGAAAGCTCTGAACCTCCCCTCAGCAGAGTGGATCTTTAAGACTGATAGGATTATGTAACAATAAGAGACAAGGACTCCTGAAATGGTACTCAGTTCAATGAATCCAAAAATGGTGAATATTGTTAACTCATTGACCTGTGTATCTGAGCAAGAGAGCAATAGGAAAGGAGGTACATCACAGAAGAAATGATTAATCTCATTTGATCCACAGAAACATAACTGGAATGTTAAAGTTGTGTGTATCAAAGCATCTGCCATCCCCACCAAGTAAACCCCAGCCATGAGCAGGGAGCACACTCTGCTGGACATGCTGACTGTGTAGAGCAAGGGGTTGCTAATGGTCTTGTACAGATCAAAGGCCATCACTGCCAGAAGTAGACACTCAGAATCTGCAAAAGTACAGAAGATCAAGAATTGCAGAGCACAGCCCATGATGGGAATTGATTTGTTTTTGGCAAATAGATCCACCAGCATCTTGGGCCCAATTGCTGTAGAATAACAGAGGTCACAGAAGGAGAGGTGGCTTAGAAAAAAGTACATTGGTGTGTTCAGCTGGGAATCCATTCTAATTAGAGTAATCATTCCAAGATTTGCCAGGAGATTAATGAGGTAAATAACCAGAATGGTGGTGAATAGAGTCACTTTCATCCCAGGGTTATTGGTAATTCCCAAGAAAATGAATCCAGTTAAGGAAGAACAATTTCTTTTGTCCCTTCTTCTTTGTGCGTGTTCTAAACATTTTCAAAAATCACAAGCAAGTGATAGATCAGGATTTGACTTTACTGGATACCCAAAACACTATCTGTAAGACAAAACATGATCTTATATTATTTTCTTTACCCTCAGGAAAGAGCCCAATGAGAGTCATTTTTAAAGAAACATTGTTGCATTATGAAAAAATCTAAAAAATGTTTGGGATAGAAAGTTGATAACTGTGGATTCTAACTACATATGTCTTTCCTGAGTTATATTACTTGTCTTGGCTTCTGTCGTCCAGTGTCAAGTACTAAATCTGAATAAACTGAACATTCACTCTATATCCAAAATAATATAAAAGAAACTACAAAATTGTTGAGAAAACATTATGTGTTAGGGAAAAAAGAAAGAGAAAGAAGGAAAGAAAAAAAAAGAGAAAGAAGGATAAAAAAGAAAAAGAAAGTGAAAAAGAAAGAAAGAAGAAAGAAAGAAAGAAAGAAAGAAAGAAAGAAGAAAGAAAGAAAGAAGAAAGAAAGAAAGAAAGAAAGAAAGAAAGAAAGAAAGAAAGGAAAGAAAGAAAGAAAGAAGAAAGAAAGGAAGGAAGAAAGGAAGAAAAAGAAGAAAGAAAAAGAAGAAAGAAAAAGAAAAAGAAAGAAAGAAAGAAAGAAAAAAGAAAGAGAAAAAAGAAAGAAAAAAAATTATTATGGTATAGTGTTTGGTGTAAGCTGATTTTAGTGTTTACTGAAATGTGAACTTTTTTTTAAGATTTTATTTATTTATTTGAGAGAGAGAGTGCAGAAAGGGAGAGTAAGAGGGAGAAGCAGAGTCCCTGTTGAGCAGGGAGCCCCATGTGAGGCTCGATCCCGGGACCATAGGATCATGACCTGAGCTGAAGGCAGACACTTAACCAACTGAGCCACCCAATCGCCCCTGAACATGTTTTATATAATATTCTATCACTTATCCTCACTGATTTGCCACAGCATTTAGAATCCCTTTGTATGACGGACCTTCGCTATAGGACCAATCCTTTGAAAGACAAAGAGAAGTGATAAAAAGAGGAAACAACAGAATATCATGTATAAATTTGCATCTCTTTGGGTTTTAAGTTGCCTTTTCCATTAAAATAAAAAGGGGAAGAAGAAAAATAAATGTTTCTGAGATATACAGTCTCCTGTCTTGTCTTTATATACACATTCTGCACACATGTGTCTGTTGATATACGAAAATGTAACGTGGGTGGTGGTCTCAGTTTTATTTTTTTAGACTTAAATACTATGATATGTGGTCTATATGGACTTGGATTTATTTGGAATGTGTTAACTCTTTTATTTTTGATAAAACTAGAGCACATCTTAAGTTTATATGTACAATATCACCTGCACAGTGATAAAAACTAATGGTGTACATACTGACCTTGGTTAAAATATAAATAAGCAAAATCTTTACTATCTTTATACAAATGACAAATGAGGTCAAATCCACACAGGTCTAATAAAGAAATAAGATTGCTTGGATGATAGGTTGCAGAATTTATTTAAATTAGTTAAGAGGCACCTGGGTGGCTCAGTTGTTAGGCGTCTGCCTTTGGCTCAGGTCATGATCCCAGGGTCCTGGGATCTAGTCCCACATCGGGCTCCCTGCTCTGCGGGAAGCCTGCTTCTCCCTCTCCCACTCCCCCTGCTTGTGTTCCCTCTCTTGCTGTGTCTCTGTCAAATAAATAAATAAAGTCTTTAAAAATTAATAAATAAATTAGTTAAGCAGGTATAAAATGATTCATTTATAAATTCCTTAATACTTGATTCTTCACTTTTTCAAAAAAAAAAAGCAAGGTGTTTTCCAAGCTATATTTTTTAAATTTAGTTGCTTAGAAACTTACCTGAAATGAGTATCTTTCTGTTCTTATTTCTGGCATAGGAACAGTAAGCAGATGGCATTTTATTTCTACCTGATGACTGTTGGGATTTAATCCCTAAAGATTCTGCCTTCACTCTTCTGGGTAATGGGAATGTGATTAATTAGATTTCTGCTTCTGTATTTTCCCCCATGAATGTTGCATCAAAGACTAAACTTTCAATTCTTCACTCCATACCAAATTGATCAATTATCAGCATTTTACTAGAATTTATTCTAACACTATGCTCATGGCCATGAATCTACACTGACCTCCAGCGAAATCAGATGTCTAATTAAATTCAAACAGATTTTCTACTTAATAATTTGTATTGCCTTTTCATTGTTCACCC